TGCTGAACCACTGGTTGCTGAAACTGGAGATGATGTTAGCCCAAAGGTGCTGGTGTCTCCTGACATGGCGGTGCAAAATGGTGATGCAGCTTCTGGTATAATACATCTGGGCCAGAACCAAGGCCCCTGGAAGAACAAGTGGCTCTCATAGGGCCCTTCTTCACACATGTGTTCTGCTGGCACTGCCGGCAGGGTAGCAGCAGTCTGTCCCATCCCTCCCACCCCAAAACAGGAGTCTGTGCTGGTAGGAGAAACAAAAGTACATGGTCCTGATTCCTATCGCGGAGGTGACCAGGACCCTGAGCCAGAGTAACTTGTAGTTTGAACTTGCTCAGAATGCATTCGAGAGACACTGCTTTAGCCTCAGTCAAGCAGAGCTGCACCTGAGACCCCCCAGAAACATGAATGCTTGGGAGCATCTTGGAGTTGGTCTGAATACTGTGAGTGGAGGCTGGCTGCACTCCACAGATGGCACCTTGCACTGCAGGTGTGGCATGATCCCATAGCATTCCAGTAAAGGAAGGATACTGGGGTCTTCCATTGTAAACAGGGATGTTTCAGGTCAGATGCAACATGGAGTAAAAAAGAATTGACGACTTCTTAATTCAGGTCTTCTAAATATTGCAGCAATGCTCACCAACAGGCTGTGTTGGAGATCTGTACACAAAGTGCTATTTTCCTGCCAATGTCCATCCTGAGCTACAGCTCTGGGGTGACAGTCACCTGGAAAGAGAGACCGAGGCATTTATAGGAAATCCATCCCACATTAGGACCCCACCCTTTCCTTCTGCAGCCCAAGGAATTAATTCCTGGGACTCTCTTACTGGAGAGATTAGTGAGGGAAGATCCCATGAGGACAGACCATTCCCTATACACTGTAGCAGCAGGTTGGAGAAGCACTTGTCTGGGGTACCTTGGAAATGCCTCATGCTGGATTCATGCAGGGGGCTTGACTGGATGACTCTCCATCCCCTGTTTTCACAACTTCCTGTCCAGTGCTCCATCAAGCTCAGACATTGCACATGTCTAACCTTCCCTGTACAGTGTAGTGTAAAACCCAACCTAGCTCTGGTACTGGCAGTTGTCTAGCCATGGAAGCACAGAGCCCTGTACAGGCTAACTCATCATGCAGTGTGAACAAGTCCTGTGGCTTTGGGCTTCCATGACACTGCATCAGAGCAATGTGAAATCTACAGGCCTGATCTTACTCCCATTAGAGTCAAAGGCAAGAAAACTGAATCGTAAAGCAGTAGTGACTGGGTCTACACACACTGCTGTGTGTCACTGCACTAAAAACATCCTCCCCCAGAGAGTGCTGGTGGAGAGCTCACAGCATGTGATCTGGCAGCGTGGCAAGTACTGATAGATGCCAGGCAAGACTAGGGCATTCAGAGCAATGCTATTTCATCACAGGCATTAGTGGCAAAGCTTTACTCATTTAGTTCTTATCCATCCAGCATACTTTACCAGTGCAAGACTCATTGCTCTCCAAAACACAGGGCCAGCTCCTGTTCCTCTGACACGGTGTCTAAATGCAATCCTATTCCACCCTGCTCGAGGTCCCGAACAACCATTAATACATCTACTCTCGTACGTCTAAGGCTAAATCACAAAAAAGCATCCAGGCAGATAACGACTGGCCCATTCTTGAGTCACTGTTGTTTTCAGGGTCCTCTAGCAGCATGGAGCATGATTACACACAGATGACTGGTCAGTGGAATACAACCTAGCCCTCCACCTCCAGAATTTCATCTCTAGCAAGGCTGTACCAGATGTGCTGGATTTGGGTGAAAAGCCTGCATCCTGCCATGACTGGGAAGAGCACCCATCCTAGGGGTAACATCTGTTGGGGGAGGGGGTGAAGTTCCACTCCCTTCACCACTGCTTTGCTGCCAAGATCCATGGTGTCAGCTGCTGGATGACTGCGCTGTGAGCTCTCTGCCACCTCCATGCCCCGCTTCTTGCTGTCCCAAATCCACTATTGATTGACTCCCTTGGAACCCAAGAGCCCCTACCTCCTGTGGCCGCGTGAGAGGTAGTCTCGATTCAGAGAGCAGAGCTGCTGCTCCAGACGGAAGATGCGGAATGCCAGGTATGAAGAGGACACGACCAGGAGGCAGATCCTGTGGGCGGAGGCAGACTGTTAGTGCTGCACACCTTAGAGACTAAAGCCTCTCCTACAGCTAGGGCTATGTTTGTCCTGCCAGGGGTGATACAAGACCTCTTGGTAATGATGAAACTAGAGCATGGGTGCTGCTTTACTTAATTTTCTCTCCAAAAGCTGCTCCTTGCAACAGCTGGCAACACACCGTCCTGTTCCCCTGGGGTCACAATGGATCCCAGATGCAGCAGGTTCTCCTGAGCCAGAGAACTAAACTCACGTGGGCTGGGACTAGCGGTCACAGCATCATGGGCCTAAGCATGCAGTAGCAACACCCGAGAAGAACTGGTCAAAGGCTCTGCTCACATATGCATCTCTAAAGATAAAGTTGGCCCAAGTTGTTTTTACCCTAATGCCCACCTGTACCATGCCAGCAGCAAAGAGAGGCTACAAAGTAGTCACAGTTACATCCATTTGACCCTGCTAGGGCAAAGTAGAGTGATTTTAAAGGGGCTTTATGGGAATGTAAATCTGCCCCATATATCAGTATATTACATAGTGCATCACAACACAGCCTAAAACTATTCTCTCAGTGAAGGTGCAAAGAGGCTAAATTGGGCAGGCCAGAGAACAGCAGTTCTCCATATCTACAGAACATGTAGGGGCAGTGCAGGCATCAGACACCCACAGCATCTCACCTCTGCAGCAAGAGGCTGGAAAAGACAGGGCCAATAAGACACTAGTGTTAAGCAATCCTGCACAAATGGCTAATGTTCCAGCACCCTCTTGAGGGCATCTGTCAGCTGAGTGCACAGGAGTGCTAAGATCCAGGTTTGGAGCCCTGGTACCTGGGACTAGCTAATAAGACACAGATCCCTTAGCAACCTGGAGCACAGCATTGCTGAGCAAAACCTTTTCCCTCCCCTGCCACCCCACTTGCTAGCTGTACTGGGGCAGTGCTTGGCTCCAGCAAACTGAGCAGACCATGTATACAAGAGCATTTTTTTGGTTGCCTTTCGTCTTCTGGGGATCAAAACCATGTTAAAAAATGCACCAGCCTGACCAGCCCATCTCGCATCTGTTCCAGGTCAGGCTGATTACAGAGTGGCTCAGAGGATTAAATCCTGAAATGGGAAATGCTAACCCAGCCACATGGGTGCCAGGAGCAGAAGGCCTCCATCCCCAGCCCCTGCTCTACAGCCACAACATTGATTCCAACCTTCTGCTCGTTTCCCTCAGTCATGCATTTCCTCCTCCTCCTTTTCCCTCCCCTTTTCACTGGCATCAGTGGAGCAATGGGCTTAGCTAACACTACAATAACCCCATCCTGTCCCACATGGACTCTGGCCTAATGCTTCAACTCCACAGGCTGTAGCTGTGTTGGGTGTGGGTGCTGCCCAACTGATGTGGCACCTGGGAGTGGAGAAGAGATGGATCTAACAGGGAACTGGGTCCTGCACAACGTGAAGTGTAATCTTTGCTAGCTTTCTTTGAAGTGCAGCAAGAAGCAACAAGGATCAAGCAGCTCCCTTTGGTCCCCTCTCTCATCTACCACTGGCCCTAGACCTCAGTTGCTAAGAAGGTAGTTCAGTCCCACATCCAAACTGTCCTGCCTTCTCCACTGATGATGCCAGTTGGGCATGACTATTTGTTCAGGACCTGAATGGAGATTTCTTCAACTCCCATAGCCCACACAGGCAGTAATGACTTTCAGCCACTCGTGACTTGGATGAGATCTGGACTAGTGAACTCTAGGAAAGGCTTTGCAGCCAACTCCCCATGTACTTGACTATCCACTCTGCTTGCTCATGTGGGTGTCTACATGTCTGACTCTATACTTACAGCACAATGAAGATTTTCAGGAGTTGATAATCAGATGGCCTTAGCTCCGCCACACAGTTTGGTTCTGCTTCCAGTTCCTCTTCTGTGTTTATTGCACTTTCTGGGAAAAAAAAAAAAAAGCAACCAAGAGGCACCAAATGAAATGGATCAAGAGTCTAAGCTGAATGTTCCTGTTCAGTTCTGAAACACATGGTCCCTCATTGAGGCTAGAACAACACGTGACCCAGTTCTGATGGAGAGAGGTGATCGTGCCATAGTGATCATTCATAGAGACACTGTTCCACGGGGAAACCCAGCTCTCCAACCTCCCAGTGGTTTCTGTGCTTTAATACTGGGGATGTATCTGATAGTCACTACATTACTCAAGGGATTCCCAGCATGATTTGCAATCTCTTTCCAGAGCAATATGGACATTTAAATCCCTTATGGCCAAGTACAACCAGTAAGGAGCCTTGTCCTCTGGAAAGGGCTCCATGGAAGTTAAGGGCACAAAGCCATGCACCCCTCAGAGAGAAGCATCCCTCCACATTCCCCACACTGGAAAACAAAGCTGTCTAGGCCCCTTCCAAGGATTTTCTAACCAATGTCTCAGCATGGGTGGGACAAAGCCACAGGCAGGTTAGGGAGAACAGGTTATAAGGTACAAGCCCTCCATCCCCACGAGGCCCCTCACCTGACACGAGGGGCTCCTCAGAGTTAAAAGAGCTCTCCTTGGTGCTGACGCTACTGATGGAGGTCCGGTGGATGCACTGGTAGTCTGCATTTGGGAGAGACAGGGAGAGAGACGCTGGGGAAACCTTCCTCCACTTCACTTCTGGGACAATCACCTCCTGTGGAAGGCACTGACTGTTAGTAGCAAACTCAACCATCCCCTGCTGTTGGTAGGCCCCAGAAAAGAGCCCCTAGTCTATACTGCAGAGTCCTCTTGAAGGGTCTGTAGGAGAGGACTTCAACCCAGGACTCCCGACCCATGAGGCATGGAGCTGTGGGGGTGCCTGGCTGCCCTGGAGAGCTGTGAAGCTACCCAGGTCTGGGTTGGCCCTGATACGCATGTTTTCTCACTGCTTGATACAGCAATCTGGTGAGCCTAAGAGTAAGATACAGTTTGTTTTTTCTTAAATCAAATGCTAGAGTTGGATTCACACCCAACATAAAGTCAAGTCCTGCAAGCAACAGGACATCTTGGTGAGGACCAAGATGGAATCCTATCAGGAGCAAAGAGGTCCTCTAAGTTTATGCCCATGAAGGAAATACTGGATGAGACTTTTCAGATCAAGATTCATTCCCAAAGGCATATATCCCCTGAGAACTGCTTTGAATTACTGATCATCGTTTATTTCACCTCATCTACTTTAAGTTCAGAAAAGACCATTATGATCATCCAGTCTGACCTCCCGCATAGCACTGGCCTCACACCCTACATCATGATTGCAAGGCTAGTATCCTCTGACCCCTCCAGAGTGCCCCTTGTAGAGATACAAAGCCTCAAGCCTTTACATGTCTGGGTGGGATGCCGTGATTCTCCACTCAGAACAGTGTCTGAGTACAGGGCCCTGTGTCCTGACTGCGATTGCTCAGGAAGGCTTACAGGATTTCACAACTGCATGATGTCCCTTTGGGAGCTGTGACCCATGGTTTGTTCAGTAAACAGACAAAGCATTGTTGAACCATAATGCTGGGAAGGCAACAAGAGATAACAACGTAGTAAAAGAGTCTAGAGGCTTGCCTGTCTTGCCTAAGTCTTCTCATCCCCTGGAAACTTAGAAAGGCCAAGCTACTTCACATTCCCTCTGCAGGTGTACCTCCACCCACTCCTTGAGAACAGTCTTCCAAACGCCATGTCCTCTCCTAAGAATTACTTTTTAACCATTTGAAGGCTCTTTGATTTGCCTGCTCCCAGCCTTGGTAAAACTGCTATATAAAACTTTGGGAAGAAGACAAGGTGGTGTAATCTTTGCAGGCATAGTTTTGTAATGACTGCTGTCACGTTTACTGGAAGCGTATGATACCATATTACTTTATCACTGTTTTCTTAGCAACCCTGCTATCACAGTAGTACAACAATTCTCAACCAGGGTGCCAAGATCCTTTCAAGGGTGCCAAAGGGTGCTACACAGTGTTAGCACTGTTAGGTTTGCAAGTATTTTTCACAAGATAAATCCAGAAATGTCAAATATGAATCCATAGTCCCAAAATCATTTTGATCCGTTGTGGGCTTTCTGAGTTTTTTTGCCAAAGAAGAATGGCTCTATTATTTTTCTGTAGTCAAAAATGTGTGAAAACTGAGAGCTGGTATTTTCTGAGGGGCTTTGAGTCTAATTGATAGTGCCTAGAGTCTAACGAGGTTGAGAACCACTGCACTTGTATCAAAAAGTTACACAGGCCAAGCATTCCATTAACTCACCCTACCTATGCATCACAGTAACTCACGAAGTAACCAGGTCCCAGACAGCATGCATAAAGTGATCACACGAGCTAAATTACAAGCTACTGTCCTTCTTTTTTAGAAATGTGCCCAGTCTTAACCTGAATTCAACACATCCCTTGGTAAAGTGGTTAATTATCTTCCTCAATATAAAATCTACCTCAAGCATAACACAAAGCGGGAATTCAAATCTAGCAGCACACACAGTCCATGGCATGACTGCCACTTCCCATGTGACTGCAAATTGAGCTGCCAGATCCAGACAGAGGCAGCTATTTTATAAATATTTTGACAGGGAAAAAAGAAAAAGATATAGATCACACGGCTTGTTTCTGGAGCAGTCTGATCTTGCTCCCAGCCAAATGCAGTGAGAATCCATACCAAGAGGTTTGTTGCTGGTTTTCAAACAGCTTGCCCCTTTCATATGCCATGCCAACGCTGCACAAAAGATACTCTAGCAATCAAATTGGCACCCACCACCCCCTTCAAGACACTGGTGTGTCAGTTCAAAGCAGCAAACATGCTCATTTGAACCTTCTATTGGCAGATACCCTGAATGTTTGCCGAGAGCATAGAGGCTTCTTTAGAGGGTTCATAGACGAAGGTGCCAGGGTGGGTATGTAAAAACAAGGACTAGAAGTACTGCATAGGATCAGCATGTGGACTTAGGTGTAGGGTGCTTCTTTGCAAAATAGCTGCATTGCTGCACTCCAAGCTCTCTGCTCGACTCTGCTGCATTAATTCTACAGCTATGTTCCTAAGGATCTCTTGTATGGAGAACTCTTTACAAGAAAAAGACCACGTGAATGTCCTTATCTCCAGTTCAAAGATGCTTGCAAGAGAGATATGAAGTCAATTAATATTGAGCAAAACGACTGGGAGAAGATTGTTAAGGACTGAAGTGCTTGGAAACAATCTATTAAGCATGGAATGAAGGCTTTTGAGGAAAGAAGAACCCAAGATGCAGAGGAAAGACGAAACCTCAGGAAAAACACAGCACCATATTCAGGATCCGATTGTTTGATATGAACTTCAATTAGGATAAGTGTGGAAGGGGCTGTCATTCAAGAATTGGGCTCTGCAGTCACACTCACAGATGTTCAGCAAGCTGATGCCTCACTCAGCACAGTCCTGTTGTCTCGCGAGACGCACAGATGCCTAGATGGTCCTGTCTAGGGAGACAGCCACCACACCTCAATTACATTCTACCACAAATGGGGCCTTGGAGATGATACCATCACAACACTTCCAAGTTCTCTTAATAGACAGATTCAAAATACTGCTACCTTCAGTCCAGAAGTGGGAATGTAACTGGGAAGCCTAATGTCACTTGCCTCCCCCTCTGGAAATCATGAGAGACTGCATGGAAGTCACGGGGGTTGCAGGAGTGATCAGAATCAGGCCTTGCATTTCAAAACCACCTCCCCTCTAGATGCTCCAGCCACATTTCTGTGCACACAGAGACCTCCCATACAGCTAGGCAGACTAAGCCCAGAAAGAGGCCCATAAGTAAGTGTGTGTGTGTGTGTGTGTGTGTGTGTGTGTGTAATCATTTTAATATTGTATTGGTCTCCTCTCACCCTCATCTTTACTGCTTTCCTTTAGAAGCATGACAGTCACAGATGGGTCCTGCTTGAATGGAGCCCCTCCACTGGGCCATCACCAGTACTCTGCACCCTGGGGAACTGCAGGGGCACACAGGAGTCCTGGCATGGTGGAGTGGGGAACGGAGGATCCTGGTATGGGAGGGAGGGAAGGGAAGTCATAGAAATTAAAGGCTGGAAGACTCGAAAGATCATCGAGTCCAACCCCCCTGCTCTGAGCAGGAATACTGCTGAGATCAAATGATCCCAGCAAGCTGTCTATCTAGTCTCTTCTTGAAGACTTCCAAAGTTGGGGACTGCACCACCTCTTTGGGGAGGAGGAATGAGAGGGGGGAACAAAAAGCCTCTTGCACATGGTGGAGGGCGTGATGAAAGCACTGAAAACCAACCATCAGGAATGGGAGAACAGAGGTTACACAGAGCCTTGGCATGGGGGGCGCTTCTAGAGTCTCTCTGAAACTGAGGGTGGTACAGAAGGGTGCTGTCTCTCTGAAACTGAGGGTGGTACAGAAGGGGGAAGGGGGGCAGCATAGGAGGGGAGCTGGGACTTAGATAAATTATGTTTTCCTGTCAGCACATTTTTCCATCCCTACCAGTCTGTTCTACTCCTTCTTAACTTCCTTGGAGCTTCCTCTCCTGGCCCCAATTTAGCCCACCACGATGGGGGGACACTTTGTGTGCTCCTAACAAACTTCTATCATTCTGCTAGCTTGGACAGACTTTGCCACTCATGTTCCTGCAAGGAATTTCTACCGTCACTCTGTGTGTCGGGGCCTCGCCACACTCGGATCCTGCCCCTCGGACCATCTTAAACCTGACAAGCCACTCGCGCTGGAAAATTGAATAGCAACACCACACCCAGCCCTCCTGAGCAACCCACTCATCTGCCCCTGCAGGGTTCCCAGCATATAGATCCCCATTGCTTTGCTAAGGCCTACCAAACGCAGAGGTCTCTGAGCAGCTTTGAAAGCTCTGCAAACAAACCGAACAGTCTGCCTTCAGCTTTGGCTTGGGAAATGCATCATTTAGAAATTCCCAAGTGCACAAAGCGATTCTCTCTGCAAATGAGGCCTGAACTCACCAACTACCTGACTTACAAACATGACTATCCCTGATGTGGCAATGCGCATCAATTAAAGGGCCTAGCATAGGACACAGCTGGGTGGAGCTGGCTCTGTCTCCCATCACACCCCTCCCTGAATATACCCTCTCTGCCCCCCTCTTTGCTGGGAGAGCAGGGCTTAGGGCTCCCACAGAGGGAAGCCTGGATTGAGCATCTTAGAGAAGTGTTTCTCAACCCATGGGTCATGACCCAAAAGCAGGTCGCAAGAATATACGAAAGGGTCATGAACAAACTTTAAAAATGGATCAACAAACTTTAAAAATGGATTCTCCTTTAAGGGAGGAAAATGTGGGAAATGTGGCTTTTCCCTTTTCCAGCTGGCAGAGCTCCAGCTTGCGAGGGGCTGCTTGGGGCCCCCCTGCCCCACACGCTGGAGGGCTGGGGCCGGGAGGCAGTGGGTCAGGAATCAGGGACACTGGGTCAGGACTGGCCATTGATGTTTACAAACGGGTCCTGGTACAAAAAAGGCTGAGAACCAGTGCTCTAGTCTAAAGCAACAATGACAGGACTTTGGAAGCTAGTTTTTAGCCAAGGCAGGAAAGAAAAATCTAATTTCAGTCTCTGGGAATGGCCCCCTCCCTGTGAAACAGTGCTGGCTGATGCTCTGGGTGGGGGTGGTCAGGCCCTGACCGGGGCTGGATCCAGCTAAGCAAGGCGGAGCTTGAGCCACTCGGCAAGGGGGGGTCCCATCCTGCCAGCCCCAGCTCTGCTGGGCCCTCTCAGTGACAGCAGCCATCTCAGCCCAGCAGGAAGCAGCACCCTCCAGTGTACTCCTCCTGCATCAGAGAGCAAGCGGGAAGCAGGGCCTGATGGCACAAAGCCCACAGTGGCTCTGGGCTGAAGAGGCAGATGGACACTGAGAAAACAAGGCCTTGAAGAGGAAGCTGCTGGAGCTGGGTGAAAAGGATGGGGGAGCAGGCGGACATGGACACAAGGCCCACCTGGGCCCCAGCTCTGCCATCTGGGTGCCCAGGAACATGGCACAGCTGGGGACAGCAGAGCCCACCCATGCCTGGGGACTGGATTCCACTCACCCCCTCCTCCGAGATGACTGCAGGAGGGAAAGGGAAGGGCACAGAGTGCAATAGCCTTGTATACACAGCAAGCGTCAAAATCCTCATTGTGTTCAGGCCCAAGGCAGTTGCCAACTGCTCTGCATCATGCCTGGACAGAAGCCACTTTATTCACAGCAAGAAGTTTCTTTGTGGACTCTTAGGTGTCCAGGCAGCACAGGCCAAGCCCAGCCTCCTCCCCTCCACCCAGGGCCCCATTCTGTGGGCTGCCTTGCGGGGGTACTAAGGGATGCAGCTGTAGCCACCCATCTCTTCAGAGGGCTCAAACAGCTGGACAGAATCCCCCTCTGGTGCTAGGGTGGCCTCTGCTCCCACACACTCTCAATTTGAGATGCCTCGAGGGCTTGGCCTTTGCCTGCCAGCCTTTCTTGCATTCAGAGTGGCAGCAGGAGCGGAGCCCCACTGTGCAGACACAGGACAGCAGAGGGCCCTCACTCAGGCTAGGACTTTACACATTCCTCTTGCAAGCCTTCTGCCTTCAAAGGAGAGATGGCTGCTCGGAGCCCAGCCATCAAGAGGCTCCACCTGTAGCATACACAGGGGTGGGCGAATAGAGCAGAACATCTTCTCTGGGCGCAAATGCAAAGGGGTGCCAGACTGAAGCCACTGCATATGGAACCTGCTCTGCAGCAGCTGCCAGCCCAGTTTGCCCCAGCAGCAACAGCCTTGAGCCTCTGCCACCAGGGTCTGGTGACCCTGTGACCCAGCAGCAGCTGGAGTCCCCACGTAATGCAAGACTTGCTCAGAACTGCCCCCACCACCTGCCCAGGACACCAACATGCTCAGTTATGCTTCCAGGATCCAAAGCCAACTATTATTACAAGAAGAGATTTGCCACCTACTCCTTAAGGGCACATGTGTGGACAGAGAAGCAGTAACTGCAAGGAGAGAAGCCCGTGGAACAGTGCTTTCCATAGTGTCACCTCTTCACCCCACTCCACTGCAACTGGTAGAAAGGCACAGACAGGCATCCCTCCGCATGTCAACCAGGCCTCTGCACTGCATGAGGGATTAGGGAAGAGTTCCTCCCTCACCCCTTTCACATCCTTCCACCTCTTCTCTTCCCTGGTTTCTTTCTCCCAAGGAGGTGTGAAGTGGTGCCTCCACCATTCTTCTTATACCTGCCAGGCCAGCAGGAGGGAGCGATTTTCCTGCTTAGACAGGGGGAAAAAGTCCACTTGAAGGGGTCTGACACCAAACTAGGGTCTCTCTCTCTCTCCAAACACCTCATGCCTGGGATGCTCCCAGAAAACACATGGTGGAGAAAGGAAGCTACCAGGATGGGTTTTTGAGGGTCACTGGAACTAGAAGGCCTGAACCCACAGCCAGAGCTGTTTGCAAGACAGGCAGTGACAGACACTAAGCTAGCATACAGCTCCTGGCAAGAACCTGCTGGCTCCTTCAAACCCCCTGCCTACTCATAACAAAACCTCGAGTGGACGGGCTATGCTCGTTAAAACCCTCTGGCTTGAAAACAAGGGATGTGTGCCATGGGAATTCCAGCCTTTTTCAAACCTTGCTCGGGAGCGCAGCATTTCAGTGGTAAACAAGAAAGTGCATACAAAAGAGTAAGGGTAAGAGTTTTATGGCACATTAGGCCCTGGGCCAACAGGTAATCATCAGTTTTGTGGGAAATGAACTTGGCAGAGTGGAAAATAACGAGCGTGATAAAGAGCTGCAATATCAACATAGTTGCAAAATCAATCCAAGCACTGCAGGTGGAATGGTGAGCACTAATAAGGCTCCTTCGGCCTGGTCAGAGCACAGGGCCAGCCCTGGACGGGAAAGGACGTGGGGAGGGGCAGGGACGGGTCTGCTGAGGAGAAACTGGACAGTGATGACTCAACTAAGCGTCAAGCAGAGGAGCCTACCCCAAGGCCAGGCCAGCTTTCAAAGCACATTTCCAGTCACTGCAAGAGCCACTCTTACAGCATCACAGCTGGCAGAGCTGGGCTGACACAGCCTTGGTTCTCTTTGTCCCAAGTAGGCACAGGATGGAAATAAGCAAGTACCTGCCCCTAAGCAGTCTTCAAAGCCCACAGCCTGTCTTGTGCTGGTATTCAGCCTTAGCTGGATTCTACCACCCACAGAGGGCTGCCTTCCTGAGGGAGGAGCAGCAACTGTATCTAAGAGTTGACTGATCTTCAGTGAGGGAGGAGAACAAAGTTGAGCCAGTGCGGGCCCACAACACAGTACAACCAAGACTCTGGGTTGTGTTCAGGTCACCAAGCCCTCTTTTTGGGAAGGGAAAAAGAACTATGATGAAAGAAGGAGCAGGAGGGAAATGAGAGAGAAGGGACAACTATGGGACTGTCAAGACAACAGGGTCCTGTTAAGGTTTGAACCCCAGGTACATGAGCATTCAGCTGGTACCTATGCAGACACCTACTCTCCTTGGTGCTATTGAGACCCGTGCAGTGGTATACGGAGCTGAAGGGCTTTGGAAGATACTATGACTAGGCTGGTCATGTCAGCTGATGGGCTGTTTTCCTTTTAGCAGCCAGTTAAAATTGCACCTGTCTGCTCCATGTCACACACCAGCTGTCCCACCCTGGCCCAAAGAGCATGATTTCCATTTGGCAAGAGCTTTGTTTCCTAGAGAAGAGCTTGGAGTGGCAGCAGCTGCAGAAACACAAGGTTGATTGTGAGACAGGCAAAACTCAGCTATCACCACACAACAGAGGAGCAGCTTTCCCTGGGGCCCACGCCACCATATGGACTTCAGTAAAGAAGGTCCCCAGCTTCATAATCACTCAGGTCACTGCAAGACAGGGTTAGCAATACCTTCCCTCCATGATCTAAGGGACATTCTTGCCTCAGTTTAATGCTGGCTGAAGCCTCCTTTCTTCTGCAACCAGTTCTTTCCTAAAGTCCTCAATCATGTGTGCCCACGCGTCTGGTTTTAAGAACAACAGCCAAAAACCAACAGGAAATGCACTTGCCTTCAACTGAGAATCCAGGGGTCTGTGCTAACAAAGCTCTCTGCCTTCTCAGCCCTGGCCTCTCGTTCAAACTCACTCACGCTTCTGCAGGTAAAACTGAATGCAAGTCTTCTGGGACTGGGATCACACCAATTAGTCGCTTCAAACCTGGGAGCTCTTATTCTCTGACTTTCCCCATTGGGGGACACATGTATCCAAAACCGGGTATTTTTCTTTTCAGTGGCGAAGGGTCTTAATAAGGAGGGTCTTTATTCAGATCTCAGTGAAGGGCCTTTCATGCACGTTTCTTATACACAGTGCATGTCATGCCATTGGTACCCATTGGGATGTTCTTAAAGTGCTTTTACAGGTCCCGTGACAGACCTTTCACTAATGTTTCAAACCATAGCCTGCGCTGCTACCTGTGCTAAAAGTGACTACCAACACCCTGTGAAGTACTTTGTGTGGTGCTGTGATTTTCTGAGTTGTTTGCTCTGAGTTGTTTCCTCTGCAAGAGTTGATTTTTTTTAACTGATGATTGGTGAATCAGTTTGTCAGGAATTGAAGCGAGATAAGAAAGGTTTAATCTCTTGGGATGGCTGATGATTCAAGTCTTTTTCCCAATATGTTATCGGCATTTATGACTCTGGCAGCTTAACTGGTTAACAAGATAGCTGGGCAGAGCCAAGAGGAAGCTGCCTGCCTGACATTCAGTGGTTCTTATCTATAAACACGTGATAGGGACTTGATGCCACCACGTTGTGAATTACATAAAGACATCCTGTAGGACATCCTCCAAGGACAAGAGCCACAGCTTTATGTGACCTCCCCAGACAGTCCACGTTAAACTTTACCTTGGCAGAAGCATGAATTTGGAGGGGCCCATATTCACTGCATGCAAATGCTGCTTTTGGCAGCTTCAAGGTGCATGGGGAATTTATTAAACCTACTTACATTTCAACCAAATGTTTTGCAGCCCACAGCATTAAGTCTTATATACTCGCCACAGAATCGCTTTAGCAGCGGTGCTTCTGTGTTGCGGTTATTAACTTGTTTTTTGAAAAGATGGAACTTACCAGAGATACAGAGTCGGGCTCCTCTGTAAATTCTTTCAAACTCAAACTCTTCTTACTGGAAACCTGAGAAAAGCAAGGAACAAACATTACTGACCCACCTCAGGCTCTGACTAGAAGCTACTACTCTGGGCACTGAATGGATGCAGAGGACCCCTGCCCCCAGCCCCTCTTCCAGTTCCTCTTTGCTATGCAGTTATCAGCACTTTGCCTTCTAGGCCTTCCAACTAGGATATCTGTAAAGAAACTGGTAGCATATACAGAAGGGTTGCTAATATACATCTGATCAAGGGGTTTTAAAATACAGTCAGCCTGTGCAGGATAAAAGATGAACGTGGAGACAACAAAATATAAAGCTTGTTCCCATTTCCAGAACTGAGAAAAAAAACCATTGAAACAAAAACACATTTAGACACCACAGGTACCAACAAGTTTGAGCTTAGAAATATGGTTAGCAGGCTCCTAAATTTGAGTCCCAATATCCCAAAGACCTCATGAGGCTTTGGGTAAATAACTTCTCTTGGTCCATGCTAATCACCTCTGACTTAAAGAGCAAGGGGTGCCCAGACCCTCTGGGTTGAGCAAGCTGGGAAGGCAAATTTTCATTCGCAGCCATTTTTTTTTGCCTTTTTGGAAATCTGTGTGTCCTTGACTGAGATGACAGCAAAATGGTGACAATTTTCCTGAACTGGAAATCCCATGAGATGTCATTTCAGATGCAAGGAACACAATGATTGCAGAATAAGATGTGTTCCCTGCAGATCCCTGGCAGTTCCAGGCAGCATGTCAGTGGGCAGCAGGAAGTTCAACCCTGCTGACTGCTTGGGAACTGGGGCCCTCAAAAGCTTCCAGATTCCCAGGCCATCCGGCTCCTCAGACAGCCCGACTCCAGCATCCCAGGGAATCAGCCAGCCTCAGAGTCCAGAAGTTGTAAGATCTGTTGGCCCTGCATGCCCTTTAGTCCAGGAAATACTGGAGCTCTGACTCTGAGGGTCTTCCAAACGAGGAATGAGCTGTCAAAATGCTTCATCTTTGATGCACTGACAACACTTCCACCAGTTCTGCTTCTAGAGTTAAAATTACTGAGGTCCCCCCTAGTTTGGCTGAAAGGATGAGTCAGCAGAGCACCACATTTTACCACCAGGCAAAACGTTGCACCTCAGGAAGGCACTTTCTGGATTAAGGATACTGCTGGCTTCCACTGTTTTGCCCATGGATCTCAGAACAGAGCCATCCAGAATCAAGCTGGGGGCCCACTTTTTTAGCAAGTCTCATGGCAGCAGTTGGGGAGGGAAATCATGGAAACTGCTAAACAAGAAGGTTCTGGGTATGAGGTGGTGCCCTACAAAAACAACCAGAGTGTGGTGGGATAATGACCTCATTTCTTCCTATAGACTTCTGATGGCTGTTGAACTTTGGAGGGAGTGGGGGGGCGGCACAATCCCTATAGACTGCACCCGCATGGGCCACAGTCCACACACTGTGCCCCACTGTGTGGGCATCTTCTTCCCTGCATTGCACCAGGAAGAGCCCTCCTTTCCTCCACTCTCTGCAGGCTGCTCTGCTCCAACCCCAGGGGCAGGGACAGGAAGCTAAACCTGAAGAAGGGAAGGGAAACCCAGAGACTCCCAGCTGTGACAGCAGCTGGACTGGTGGGGGGGGTACCACCCAGAAGGGAGCCTGCAGGCCACAAGTTAACCCCTTACGGACCGCATGTGGCTTGCAAGTTAGACAGCCCCGCTACAGACTATCACCTCTGGTAGTACTACATCTCCCAGGACCCAGTGCTCTCTGCCATCTGACAGTGCAAAGAAACACATCATGGAAGTCATGGAGTTTCATCAAGTTCTTGGTTTCCATGACAAACAAAATTGTCTTAAGGTGTCACCAATTTAAGGACTAGCAGATTTCTTCCCTTCAGACTTCTTCTCCTGTAATTTCTTCTAAGATCATGTTTGTACCAGGATTTTTACTCCAAAAGTTTAAAAGCCCTGAAGACAGTTAAGTCAAGCAAATACCAGCAAACTAATAGGACTCTGGTGAGGTTATAAATAATGCACATGCACTCCATTAAAACAGAGACTTCACTGGATTCAGCCTGGTTTAATCAGTGACCTAGAAACTGCTAACCTAGCTTACTGCATGCAACCAAGTCAAAACTCAGTCTGCTACACAAGAATTAATCATAATTGGCCCAATTCTGCTGGCAAAGATAGTTAAAACAGGATTGCTCCCAACATTACAACATGTGTTTTATAATATGAATCCATTAACAGCCAAGTGCTTTGGGAGTGAATTTTTTCCACATGCTGGCCCATCATTTGTCAAGAACCATATTCGTGTCTAGTTATGAACCAAATGATGAGCAGTTACTTGAAGCAAAGGAGTGAAATGCAAGAGAAATGCAGCTAACAGGACAGCCATTACATTCTCTGGACGGGATTTGGACTCCTGCCTCTCTATGACAAATGTAAAAAATATTTTAAAAGCCAAAAAGTAGAAGCAAATGTGTTTTAAAGGGGAGACGGTCCAGTGAATGCTTTTTAAAATGCAGCACTGAAATGTTTGGGTCATGCAATTTGGGATATGTACTTAGTTCCTGCTCATCATTCCAGCGTCACTATATTTAATGTATAACCTTTCAATATCTCACACACACACACACTGATAGGAAGCAGGTTTTCTGGCTGCCTATATTTCCTGTTACAAAGCATATGGAGCCTTTCATCTTCAAAGCACTTTATGAACATTGACTAATGAATTATTACAACCCCCCAGGGAGGCAGCGAAGCAGAATTATGCCTGGTTTGCACAGAAGCAAAGTAACTTGCCCAAGCTTGCCAAGCCAGACAGGGTTAAACATGGGAACGGTGACCTGGCCTTGTGGTTCAAGTGCAGAGATGGCCAAATCCTACTTCAACTATTTGGTGCTTAAGAGGTCCAAGCACGATCCTTTCTCCCCCCAAGCTGGAGTGTCTGAAAGGCTCTTGATATAAAAAGGTGAGTGGATCATCTCTTCCTCACTGTTTTTCTGTGCTTGAAGCTGAGGTGACAATGTTACAATAATAAGTGCATTGATGGATTTCCAGGGTAGGACAGGATCAGGCTCAGGTGTCAGGCTTAAGTAGAGCAAGATCTGGTTCAAAGGCTAGAAACAGACATCGTCAAAGAAATGGATCAGTTGTGCTGCGATGCGTCATGATACAGCTGATCTGCTTCATTGGGCACAACACACGTTGCCCTTTGTCCTGCTCTTGAGGGACAAGGCACCATGTGATCTCCCCACTTTCCCTGCTCAGCCAGACCTGCCCTTCTGATTGTGGGGAATGGGTCTGTCTGAGCAGGCACCCTTGACTTCCTTACTTATGGAGAGGCACCCTCATATTCCCCAGGGTTCCCTTCTGTAAACGGGAAAAGGAGGCAGGTGCCCCAGAGGCTTGAGGGGCCCTCAAATCCCTAGAGCACCTGCCCAGGGCAGCTGAAGAGTAGGAGCAGCTCAGACTGCCTGTACTCTCTTGCCATAGAGCCAACAGATGTCTGCTGCAATAAAGCAAACTTATCTATTACTACCAAACTGCAACTATCTCAGGACATCCCAGCCTTGTGCTCAGACCTCAGCCACTCCCTGTTCCCTGACAGTCACTTCAGCAGCTGCTGGAAAGGAAATGTTCCATGAGCTCTCCCAGAAGGAGGTATAAGTATCTGCCACCCATTAAATCAACACAGACAAGGCAAGGGAGGCTTTGGTCTTGTGTGAAGGGGAAGGACCACTTAGCCATCAGCTTCCCTTAATGGTGAAAGAGTCTAGTCAGTGGATTTGCCCCCAGTGGCCTCTGCTGCTTTATTGCAAATAGGAGAACTGAAGCAGCAGCCTTCCCTATAACAGAGCTACCTGAATTGGGAGTACTGAGGCAGGTAGCTGAGCCAGTAGAAGATTCTACCCAGAGGCCTGCAAAGTGCAGGGGAAGTCCTGGCTGCTGATAGCCCCAACCATACCACACCAGGCCCAATGGCAGCCAGTACGGAGGCAGCACTTTGATGGGACAGTGAGGACCCCAGAGGCACCCACGTTCATGTCTAGGGCACAGTTCTGTACCTCCCTGTTGTGTTCAGATAGCACATTACCAGCCTGGTACAAGGGCATGTGCCAAGGGAAGGCAGTCTGTACATCCAGAGTAGGTGCTTGCACCATGTCTGGAGGGAATCTATTCCAGGTCTTGGGGGCTTGGACAGTAAAGAAGGTTTTCCTTATGTCCAGTCTAAAACAGTCTTGGAGGAGTTTGTGACCATTTGACCTTGTCATCCCTTGAGGTGCTCTGGTGAACAGGAATTCCCCCAGATCCTGATGTATACCCCTTTTATACTTATAGGCAGCCACTAGGTCACTCCTGAGCCTGCGCTTTTCCAGGCTGAAGAGTCCCATGACTCTCAGCCTCTCATCATAAGGCCTGTTCTCTTGCCCTGAGAACAGATGCAGAGTACCTTCTGCCCTCTAGGGGAAAAAGCTCTAACCATAAGGAGACACATCACAAAAGGTCTGTGCATGGGACACCAAAATACATCCACCCCAGCATCAGCACCATAATTGTTCATTGGACCTTGCTCTCCCCTTTAATATGCCAGCTATTGGGTTTGCGATAAGGTGCAAGGGTACCTGCAGGTGGGTGCAGACTCTCTTCAGCACGTCATACACGCTGTCTCGGGAGATCAGGGACACAAAGATGTACTGAAAAGAAACAAAGAGAGAGTGGTGAAACTGCATGGCCACCAGCCCACCACGCTGGCTCTGATGCACAGGGGCTGCTCAAGGGGCTGGATCCTTTCTTTGCCTGGATGCTCAAAGTTCAAACCAAAAGCATGTGGCCTTGCTGGCTGCTGGCTCAACAGTGTTCACATTTCAAAAGCTCCAAACTAGGTTAAGCACTCCATTAGGATGCACAGGAGCTGCAGACTCAGCAAGAGAACAGCTCATTTTGTAACCAGGAGATACACACATGCTTACTCGCATCATAATGTTATGTGCGTACGCACACACATGCACACACACACACGCACGCACACGGCCAGGAGCCCTGCAAATGCCTTTCCCAGGAGGGCATGTAGGGTGGGAGTCTCAAGGATTTACCTAGCTCAGCTCTCATTGATGTCCATGGTAGTCTATCACTGGCTTCAGGGAAGCTGTCTGCCCAATGCTGGGTACTTTGGGGAAAACCTGACTTTAAAAGAAAGGATATTTAAATATAACAAGAGCCTGCTTAGAGGAGAGACCCCCATTTCAGTGAGAAACCTGCTCTACTGGGTCTTGCAGAGTCAGCTTTTTATCAGGACTAAACTGCAGCTGCTTCTGGGCTGGAACATTGGCTTCTCAGCATCGCTACTCAGCAATATGGGACAGGATGTGAAAAAAATGACCGTTTCCACTGTGGCTCTGGAGGACTTTGGGATGGTAAGTCCTGGAGCTGCAGCCGGGAGGCTGGGGACAAATCAAGATTATTAATTACTCAGAGTCAGACGTGAACTTTTACCAGAAGGCAGAGGCCTCAAGTGTCACGATGTTCTAGCACTGGGAAGGGCCACTAGCTCACCACTGACTCATCCGTGGGCAAAGCGCCACCTGCCTCACTGCTTCCTACAGCATGACAGAGGGCACAGACAAAGACAGCAGGCCCTCAAACTAACCCCTCGAGTGTACTGCACAATGTCTGAATCCTTGATCTTTAGTGCAAGCAGCCTGGAGAAAGGTCCACTCAGACATTTATAAGAGCCCTTTCAGAGTGCAGGGTTCTGGCAGAGTCTGCTTGAGCACAAACTGAATTGGGAAGAGAATCTGGATGGAGGGAAAGCTTTGCATCAGAGGGGAAATACCTGCTGGGTGACTATGGCGGAATCCAAACCACAGCCCAAGCCCATGCAAGTGTGAAGCCCTTTGGCAAATTAAGTTTAAAAAAAAAAAAAAAGTGACAGTTCAAGCCTCTTAGTCTTGATGAGATTAAGGAACTGGGATTGTTTCCGTGCCATCCTAGCCTTCCAGTAGCCTCAAAGGAAATACAGAAGGAGGCACTGAAGAGGAACACAAATGAGCGAGGTGGTTAGCCAGGTTAGTCTGAAGTCAGGCAGAAGGTAGGGCAGGGTGGCACCTTAGAGACTAACTGGCTCAGACACATGAGCTTTCATAGGCGACAGCCTACTTTATCAGATGTATCTGACTGTCCCCAACAAAAGCTTCCACCTCTGTGAACCAGGTCTCTATGGTGCCACCCTGCCCTGGCAGTAAGAATATCATGTTTGACCTCCAGAGGGCCCAGAAGGAAGTGTTTATTCTCCCACAGTCAAAAAGGTCAGAGCCAAGCAGAATTTCCCAACCAGGGCCTGTTTTCTCTGCTACTTAGCTCTACTCTCACATTCCAGTGTCAGGCGGCACAGCACGTACAAGAGACTGGCAGCCTCCAAAAGCTCCTCCCAGCTTCAGTTTTGCCAAGGTGAAACTGAAGCCCCTATTAAAAAAAATCTTGCCTGCAGAAGACGTGTCCTCTGTTACTAATTCCTCCCCAAAAGATTTTCTTGGCAATCCAATAATTAAATGGGATTTTATTTTCTAAAAGTTCCTTTCCATTAAAATCTGGTCCAGATTTTTAATGGTTTAGCCCCTAATTATGCTCCATCTGTGGAACCTCATATCCTGGATAAGAGCTTCTGCTGGCACTAGGCAGTACAGCATTCAGAAAAAGAGCACGTGGTATAACAGTGCCTGGATTTAACAGAAGCATTATATAATTGGGCTTCCATGTTAGGAGAAGTAGGCCGAGGGTGCTGGAGGGACACACATCTCTTGATGTCATTGTTGACTTAAAATAAAAGCAGAATCATAGAGAAGTAGGGCTGAAAGGGACCTCCAGCAGTCATTTAGTCCATCCTCCTGCTTGAGGCAGGATCAGCCCTATCCAAGCCAATCGAATGTCATAGTGTAAAACAATTCACTGCTAGAAGGGCTTGAATACCAAGGTCTGCATTAGAAACTCTCAGCCACTACCTTCAGCTCATGCCATCTGGGCTGCAATAACATAGGACAGGGGTTTTCAACCTTTCTTAACAAGTGTACCCCTTCGGCCTCGAAGTTTCAGATCGTGTACCCTTTATATTCTTTTCTTGTTTTTAAGGGTGGGAGGGGCAGATCAAAGCCCCCGTGGTGCAGGAGGGAGTGGGGTTGGACCAGGAGCAGGCACTACATTGGCAGAGGAAGAAAAAATTATTTGGGGGAGTCTGAGCACGTGCACAACCCCCCCGCAGCAGGTAAGTCTTTGGGAGAAGGGGCAGGGGGAAGGGAGGGCAGATCAAGGCTCCTGTGATGAGGGAAGGAGCGGAGCGCAGGCAGAAGCAGGGGCTGGGAAGCGGGGCCGAGGCCAGGCTGGGTGGTGGGACAAGTGGAGCCTGGCAGCTTGTCCAGGGGTGTGGCACAGGAGAGCTAAAGACGGGGGGGTGGGCATGCATGTGCCTTCCCCTTGGCTCCCCCGTGGTGCACACAGCAGTGGGAGCCCACCTCCGCCCCCCTGGACAAGCCGCCAGGCTCCAGTTGTCCCACGACTTGGCCCAGCCAGGGCTCTATTCATGGTGAATGGAGTCCCGGCCAGGCCGAGTCGTGGGACAATCCCCACAGTGCAGGTGGGAGTAGGGCAGGGGCAGGGATGAATGATTCACCCCTGCCCCACTCCATCCTGCACCGTGGGGGTCTCGATCTGCCCCCTTCCCCCAAGCCCAGTCACAAAGAAAGTGAGGGAGAGAGTGATGAGGTGAGGGAGGGGCTGGGGCAGGCGTTGTGCAGCTGGAGTGAGGCGTGAGACTGAGCTGCGCAGGGACAGGGGAGTGGGGTGGCTCCCTCAGCTACGTATGCCCCCAGGAGAGCATGGGGGCATGTGCCCCCCCGGATATGAGCAGGAGGCAGGGCAGGCTGCAGCTGCAGGCTGGAGCCAGGGCTGCGCCAGGCTCTTCCCTGTAGGGGCTGGGCCAGGCTGCATTTGGGACGGGCAGTGGTAGTACTGGGAGCGCAACTATGGGAGGGGCTGTAGCCTCCCCCCCCAAACCCCCTCTTAGCACAGCCAGGCCCAACATCCCCCTGGGAACAGCCCCACACTACCCGGCCCACAGCGGCACACAGCCCGCCCTGCCCTGCCCTGCCCCACATGTTGATTCAGGGGTATGCACCTCCCCCACACGCCCTCCTGGGGGTGCGTGTAGTAGCAGCATGGGGGGGAGGGGCCACGAATGCAGGGGGAGGGGCTCACACAGTGGCCACCCCCACCCCCACTGCTGCTGCCCTGCTTGGCCACATGCCACACCACTTTCCCCAGGCTGCTGACAGGCCTCGCACCTAGCCAATCATGTGCTGCCGGGGGTGGGCACAAAAATACACTCCCCCCACCATTCAGACCCTCACAGCCCTGCTGTAAGGGGGTAGCAGCCAAATCAGGAAAGCGAGCTGGGGTGGTGGGTGGGGAGGTGTCATGTTGTTTTGTGTGGGGCTCGCGGCAGCCGGTGTGTCCCTCCCCTGGGCAAGAGGCAAACACGCCAGGGGAGATGCCACTGTTGTGCCCCAGGCTGTGCTGTCCCCGCCCACACCCCCTACAACCTTTCTAAGTACCCCTTGGGGTATGCGTACCCCTGGTTGAGAACCCCTGGCATGAGATACTTTTTTGTTTCACGGGATTCAGCCTTCATTACCTGGTTAGAAGCCACACTAGGAACTGGGGAACTGATACTTTTCCCTCCAGGTAAAAAGTAACCCAAAAGCCCAGCACAGGACTGGAAGCATGATACCAAGGTTCTGATCAGTCCATATTCCCTGGCACTCTTTGCAGGAGAGACATTGCAATCAGCCAAGTGTACATCAGCATGCAGCACCAGGCAACATTCCTATAAGCCAGAGTCCATGTGAACACAGAACTTAGTCCACCTTCGCTGGAAGCTCTGCCTGCTCAAATTGACATTTGGACAAACAAGGCAGACATTCCCATCAGTCCCTCACTCCCTCAGGAGCCGGCTTCCAGGGTTCAGCTGGAGCTGGGTGGAAGTTTGCCAGGTTGTTCAGATCTAACCAGAAACACACTGTGAAATTCAGAGGATCCAAACTGAAGCAAAGGCTCTTAGAGCTATGGTGTTTATTTTGGTGCCCTGGCACTAAAACAGCTAACAGGACATGAAGAGAAGACCCAAAGATATTACCTTTCTGCTGGCATTGGTGGTGATAGCCAGGCCATTGGGCAGCAACCGGGCTGTCTTGTGCTTTTTTATCAGCTGCACCGAGACCACTGGGATAACCACCTGCAACACAGAACAGTACACACGTGTTGTAAGCAGAGCTGGAAGCACCGTAGAAATCTTATGTGGCCTTCATTCAAAGCAATGTTTGAACTTTGTACATTAAATAAGCCATAAGGCCACCTACTGACTGGTAAGAATCAAACAAAATATGAACAGCTGCTTGTAAGTGGAGCGCCATCCATCTTGTGCACTGGCTTGAGGCAGCAGGCTGATAGGAAGGCATTATGTGATCATTTATATCCACAAAGTCTGTTCTAATCTATCTGATGTAAAGCGGCTAAGTTATGATTGCACGGACAACCCTAATTCTGGTACCTAATAACTTCTGAGTGCCTGGCTTGGTGGCCTTTCAATGTGTACGTGCGTGTGCACATGCGTGTTTGCATGTGCATGCACACAATTTCTTTACAAATGCAGCAATTTAACATTATCTGCTGTCTACTGTCTACACTAGTTGCCCAAATATTGATTGTTGCCTGGAGGCAAATTTTACTTGGACTGCTTGTCAGTAAGCGTCACAGAACTCTGTTACAATCTTGGCCTCTGAAACATTTCCTGCATCTACATTTTCAATACAGCTAAGGGAAAAAAGGACCCATCTACATTTTCAATACAGCTAAGGGAAAAAAGGCCACAGCAGCCAATACAAACAGAGCAGCTCTCTATAGAGATCAGTCAAGGGGAAGAAATTAAAAAAAAAAAAAAAAAAAAAAAAAAAGAACAAAAGACAAACCCACAAGTCCATGGAATCAAGGCCACGGTTAAAAATAAATCAGGATGTGATTTATAGCCAAATAACTCCATCAAAACATGCTGAACTTTGAAAACTAACTAACATTACTTTTATCAGCTTTTTGTTTACATAGGAATGGCTGCTGATATAAATAATTCAGCTATTTAGCACAGTGTTAAAGGAAATGGGTTCTAAAAAAGTTCTTTATCAGATGCAACATTAACTCAAAATGTCAAATTATACTTCAAGCAGAAGGAGTTGAGAGAAATTCAAATCTGCTAGAATCCTTTGATCTTGCTGCAGAACCAGGCTTAGATTCTAAAATGTTTCGGGATGTGGAATTTTAAACAAAACCAGGATTTGTTTCCAATAAGAAAGTTCTCCGGGTTATTGGATAGAGACGAGATGGAAGAAATGTCTCCCTTCTATACACGCGTACACGTACACACACACACACGTGCAATCTTACTTTCTACACCCTTATTTGACACTTTTGAGAGATGATTTCAGTCTGTTGGAAAGAAAGTCTGGCAAAAACAGCCCTTTGCCCAGAGTTAGGAGTCCCATCTGCTGCAGCTAAATGCAAGGAAGGACTGCAAGGAAGGAAGGTGCAGGCATTTGTATCCCAAGAGGAACAAGTTCTCTTTGGGAGTCAGTGTTGCTGATGTAAGCAGGCTGCAATGACAGAATGAGATGAGACACCATTGGGGACAGGTCAGTGGAAGCATGGGCTAGGGAAGGGGTGTTGCTGCCAGATGCTGGCATCTGTGCTTGGGCTTTGTGTTCAGATTTCAGGTCCCTACCAAAGAAAGGCAGGCAGAGAACATCAGCACAGCATTACCTTGATGTCCTTCCCAAAGAGGTTTGCATAGAAGCAGAGCCAGTTGGGGGAGATGTAGAGCCGTCCCTGAATGAGGATGTCTCTCTGAAGCGCACAGGAGCAGACTGTAACACATAAAGGCAGTATGGCAATAGGAGCTACTACACTGTGGACCATAAAACCAATGCCACAATAAAAACTGAAGGACCCTGAACCACTGCTGGCTGGTATCATGTCTGGGGACTCCCCCAAATTGTCAGTCACCTGATAGGCGGGGCTGCTGGCTACAGGTCTGTGGCCACAGAGAAAAGGCATTCTCTCCTTCGCTTCACCATGGGGGCGTCTGATACTCAAAAATGGCAGAGGCTCATCCCACCGCACCTCAAACCGATGCTGGAAAGCACTGGCTCTCCCCAGCAAACCCTGGTAACCAGAGTATAAGCTACACAAGCTACCAGCAGAGCTCAGGCTACGATGATCAAACTTCTAGGGACCCAGGACCCTGCAAAGACTTGAAGGCTCTGGTCTCCAGGATCAATGAACTCATTTGTCCTGCAAAGGGGCCTAATGAGGTTCTGCCATCTGTTGCCTTCCCAGTCTCTGACCTCAATCACACTCTGGCGGACAGCGGGACAGTGAGGCAGGCTGCTCTTCAGAGCCTGTCCTCTCCAGGGCATGGTGGGGATCTTATTGCTCCCTTGAGACTGCCTCCAGTGCTTACCTTTCAGGACACTCTCCTCCGTGGGAATGTCCTTGAACAGCTTGTGGTACTGCAAGTTGTATTTACTTGAGGTCTAGAAATTAAACAGACACAGTCAAGTGGTTGAGGAACTATCTGGTGACCTTGTTGACACAGACATCAAGTCCAAGATCAAATGTTCCCTTTCCCATCTCCCTCTCTTAGATCTACCCCAGAGACCATTTCTCCCCCTAGTATATTCATTTCACATAAAAGTACAAAATATGCATTTAGGTGGGGTTAAATGTCACAATACCCCTCCCCACCGACATTTACTTCTTGGCTAGAGGCTGGGCAGAATCATAGTTAAGCCTAACTGGGAGAGACTTCCACAGGTCATCTACTCCAGTTTCCTGCTCAAGGCAAGATCATCTTTGTCTAAACTATCCCAGGCAAATGTTTGCCAAATCTGCATTTAAAAACTTCCAGTGATGGAGATTCCACAGTCTCCCTAGGGGATCTGTTCCCTGTGCTTAACCACCTTCCTCATTAAAAAGTTCTTCCTAATCTCCAGCCTAAATCTATCTACTTACAATTTAAGCCCACAGCCGCCTCTTCTCAGAGCTCAATGAGGATGGGACAATTCAGCTCTACCCTCTTTATAATAACCCTTTGAGTAGTTTAAGAGGTATCAACACCCCCTACTAAATAATCCTAGGTCTCCCAGATTTTTCTTATACAGGTCAG